TAAAGATCAAATCTGTCTGAATTTGATTAACTGCAACATTTACTTTGAACAGTAAAATCTTATACACGATAGATCCTTCTTAAGTAAATTCTATAATATTGAAGGGACATTAATATTCGTTCAGTATTTAGTATACGATGTAATCCAATAAATATCTAAAAAAAACTCTTTCTCAAAAACATCTTTACCCGGAGTTCGTTATAATCGAGTTTGACTGTAATTACACTTCTAATGTCAACATACAAATAAAAGGAGTATTTAAATATAACTCCTACTTTTGGAATGTTTATAAATTAGATTTAAAACATTGTAAATACCCATTTTAAAATGAACTAACCGAAAACTTCCCCACAAATTACAATCAAATTACAAACACAACAAATATTTATAATAAACACTTGAAATAAGAGCCTCTTTACGGATATGTAAATAACCGTGATTACAAAACAAAGGTGTTTGAGAATTAAACATTCTCTTCGATATAATGAATATAGTCGTGAGTAGAAATTATAACTAAGATTATTGTTTTATAAACTTTGAAAGTAAACAAATGAACAATTTGTAAGTTTACAATAATACAGTAATAGTTTTGTACCATTCAGATTTGCTGGTATTTAGTGATATCGCCATTATTTCTAGAACTCGTTCTCAGGAACATTGTTGTGATTCTATAGTAATTCTAAACCAGTTAACGGTACCTGTCATTTGGTAGTAGTTACATATTGATCCTAAACCTGTTTAAACAAGCTCCTCTTTATCAAAATAATTCAAAATTCAACAAAATATTCAAAATTCAACAAACAAATTCATAGATTCCCATAAATTTAACAACGAATGTTGAAAATACACCCCTATTCTGCATTTCGATTACGTTTTCGCATTCAGTTACGCTACGAAAAAAGGTATTCCAACAAAAAACGAAATCGTAAGAAAAACAGAAGCAATACCATTTTATTTCAATGCTTAACGATCGCGTGTTTTCTGCATTACGATCCTAACTACGTTTTTGTAAGTTGTTATTTCAGTGACGGAGCTTCAAATCGAAATGCAGAATACCAAAGTTGCGAAACGGAGAAAATTTCGATTTAAATTAAAGAGCAGAATAGGGGTGATTATAAAATATTGCTTTCAGTAACTTTTTTCAAACAACAATCGCTGAAAAACAAACTAGTTCATGATATGTTCCAAAGTAGATGTATGTGTTATATAAATCTTCCTTAGAACTAGGATGACAAATTCGAACAAATATAATTGATTAAAGAACTGGTTCCCGAACTGTTCCAGAGAACGAATTCACAACACTTCCATAACGACGCTTTCAAACAAACACTATAGATATCAATGAATAAATAGAACGAACAGAACTAATGTGGAACTAATAAATTTTTTTCTGGGAGTATGTGATGGATTTTCATTTCATTAACATGACTAGATTTCCAGCATTTAGGGAAAATTTTCCTGTTTTTTAAAGGCTTAACGCTTCTAGAGTTTTAATCCAGCTTATTGGTAATAATAAGCGAAGTTATAAAAAGATAACTAGGAAAAAATTCTTTTTTATGTTTCTTCCCTTTAAAATATTCAAATAGTTATTACAAAATATCTTAACAAATTTAAAAAATAAGCTTTTTTCGACATTTTCTTCAAAATGCAGCTTTATTGCAATTTTAGTTAAAAGTTTTCTTGATCAGATTACTTAATGGGCCTTTACACGATCACACTTTACGTACGTAAAGTCTAATGAAAAAGTAAAATGAAATTCCATCTGTATAATAAAAAAGACAATAAAAGTTTTATGATTTATATATTTTGTGTTTACACGATTGGTATAAAACAATAACAAAGTAAAATGGAAACAGCTGTTTCACTTTTTTTGTATATGCTTACATAAAAATACATCCCTGATCTAATGCGACTTGCTTGAGTTTTGAATCATTTAAAAAATGAAGAGAGCCATACGACTGTCAAATTTTGCATTCGTATTTCTCTCAATCATATCCCATGATCCCATCCGTACTCTTCTATACAAAATTTTTACTGATCATATTACTTGTGTGCTCGTGTAAAAGGGTCTTTATCAGTTCTATGTGAATGAAAGTTACAAGAAAAATATGCGTATGAGTAATATGCATATAAATTTAATTGTAAATTTTATTACTCATACGTTGACATCACGATTACAAAAAATACAATACGATGAAACGCTAACATATACTACAAATGTAAGATTTCTCTCTGTTACTTAACTTCTCCATTTAGTAAAATCTTCAATATGTTATAGCAAGGAATTACTTAGAGATTAAAAATATTCCACTAAGAACAGAGGTTATGTAATATAACAAAACAAAATTTTGTAATGAGCGGTCGTATTAGTAGATCTTAGTCAAACTATTTTGTAAGATACATATTTTGCAATCTATTTGTCTATAATAACTTTGACTTTTAACATCTTACTGAGAGAAGACAAGGATTCTTCTAAAAGTTTTAATGCCAATCGATGTCTACACATACTGATGTATGCCACTTTCAACCCTTCGATCACTTCGTTGAGACATCTCTATAGGGGTCTCCTATAATTTCTAATGTTTACCAAAATTCTATGTCCACACATTATAGTGCTTTCATTAACTTGTCTCTTTCATTTGTTCCTAAATTTTCATATGTCCAAAGCACTGTGTTGCGATAATCGTAAACTGTCAAAATTTGAGTAAGATATTATAAATTATATACCTTTCTTCTATAGTAGTTTAATATTTTATTGTACACAATATTTTATGATAAACGTTAGGTGTACACTACATAAATGTTTTCAATTTGAAGTTCATATATGAACATGTAGTTTCGTATTTAGATATCTAATTGAAAGAAACTTTGTGTAACACTCGAGCTATAATCGCTATTGGAATTGAAAACAGAATTAAGGCGACTTTGCGATGATTTGTATATAAAGTTCATATTACATCAATTTGAAATTTTTTAAACAGAAAAATAATTTGCATGCTGTATTTTTGCAAATACTTTTAAATTTATTTATGACTAATCTTCCGGCAATAGCTGTTACTGCAAATATTTCTATGAAAATTATTTAGATTCCTGTTCTATTTTCACTAGAATCATTAATGAATAAAAAACTTTACTATAAATAAAAAATTTTAGCAAATAAAATGAATAATGTTTTTAATGAGCGTTGTATGTATGTAATTAACTTGATATCAACTTAACAATTCTTAAAAGTGATTGGCATTCACAAGAAAATGTTAGATTTATGTATCAGTTGTTTATTAAAAACCATTTTATCCTTTTCATTTTCTCTTTTTCAAACATTCATATTTGTTTGCTGGGTAATTTATATAAATGTATTTTTATATACATTCCCGTTGAGTAAGACAGTAATAACACATATACATACATGCCTTACTTTATAAAATGTTGAGCTTTTTATATGTTTTTTGTGTATGTACTCTTTTATTGCTTAATTTACTCTCTCAGAATATTAAAGAGAATTTAAAAAAATGTCCTTACTTATACATACACATTATTGTTTATGAACATTACGCAAAAGGTCTCAATATAAAGGGTATTGTGCGAGTACAGGCAGTGATGTCTACAAGGTTTATTTAAAGTTGAAAAAAGGACGATTTTTTGTATGAAAAGGATTTGGATAAAAAATTTTTAAAGCTTTCAGATTAAATATTTTTGAAATTAAAAAAGATTATGTACCAGCCCAAGAACCGATAAAACGAAAAATATAAAGAGAACGCAATCGAAGCCATTGAAGAGATTAAATTCAAAACTGATTTGCAGCATAAAAGTGAAATTCCATGAAATACATCAAATTTACTTTCATAACACGATAACCAGAAATAGGTAATGATATAGAAGCCAGCTGACTCAAAACGCGGACTCTCTTGGTCCATGATGGATCCCTTTTAACTTATCTGTAACGGGCAAGTATATGTCTATCTTCGATGTTAAACAAATCTGTGATGCGAATGTCCATCTTCGTGCTGGTTTCTTAAAATATTCAGGCCAATGAGTGGTATAACATAAACTAAAATTCGGACGAATTCCAGCAAAACATGTACTTGTCCTACGAGGAAGTCAATCGTCACCCCATAGATTACGAAGATACAGACAAAAAGCTTAGGTTTGTTTTTTTAGAGGCCAGTCTCTCGCTTACAAAGGACATTAAAGTGACGATTATCTTCAGCATCGTTTACAAAGAGTACATCCGTGACGAAAGACGAGCCAACCAGGATGGTTAGACGTTAGTGCAAATCACTATCTTTTTCGGACTCATTAGATTGATAGCAGATTTTGAAGTTATCCATCATTCTCTCACTTATAGACTTGGATCAATCTATGTAGAACACAAATGTATAATTCTGAAAAGATGATGACCGATATATAAATCCTTAGTCAGGGCTGACAGTGATAGAGCAAACATCATAGCGGTATAACGCTTTTTTATAGCCCAAATTTGAACCTCTCAGTCTTAGCCTTAAAGCCTACATCTGACCTAAAACTATCGCAGAAGAGTATGTTTCATCCATACATTAATATTTCGAGAGCAAAGACAGCGAGAGAGTAATAATCTTGCTCCGACTTTTTGAGTTTAAGAAAAATTAATAAACATGAACGGAACTCGACGATACTTCAAAATACTTAATTATTAAATTGATTAAATCACCAAAATTTCCAAGTTGACATCACTGTTTAATCAAAATTATTTCTTGCAACTTTCTCTCACTCTCTTATATTAATCTTACGGTAGCTTTCTATTGTTTGTTATGCAGCAGAGCTTTTGTGTTTTAATAAATATTATACTATTTGAAAGCTTTTATCGTGTAGCTACTAAACTCTTATAAGAATATTTTAGATATTTTATTATACCTATTGGCAATATTCCCAGAAGAGAAACCCAAATAATAATAAAACACACAAAAAAGCCACCGCTACCGTCAACAACAACCCACCTATCACTTCTGTTAAATGCTTCCAGTCGCTACTCACCGTTTATAGAAAAAGGTTCAAATTGTTGAAAATAAAACAAACCAATTTTTATCCGTCCTCGGACGCTCGATAACATAATATCTTCATTCTCTCACGCTTTCTCAAAACTATGTCTCTATATATAAAGGACAGTCGGTTGGTCGGTCAGTCGGTCGTTTAATTTCTTAAAACTGTCACAAAACGAAAGATTTCAAAAAATACTATTTTATTACTACGTACTAATTTCACTCTGTGAACTAAAACTCTTACTGAAAAGCTCTTCAAAATAAAAACATTTTTATAGATAAATAAATATAAATAAGAAATATTTATTAAAAAAAAAATATATATATAAATTTAATAATTAAAAAAAAGTTTAGTGTGTTTCGTTTTCAAATTCAAAACTCTCGTATCTAATCTATAACCTTAAATAAAAATAAATAATCAAATACATACTGAAGGGAGACTAAAACAGAAAAATATTTAATAAAATACTTAAATTAATAAATGTAAATGTTTTAGCGAATGGTGTTTGATAAAATTCAAACCCCCCCTCGTCTATGTCGTTTGTAGTTTTTAAATAGTTTACTTTAATCTTAAATAAAGTGTTTATCAATAAATAAATTAATTACAAATAAAATAAAACAAAAAGAAAACAACAATTTAAATACACAAGTACAAACAATTTAGCGTTTTTTTATACTTATTATTTTAAACAAATAATTTCTTGCAAATGTGCATATATCTACATACACAAATCCACAAAAACAATATACATACATAGAAAATATAATGTAATGTAATAGAAAAAAAAATATCTAAAAGATGGAAATAGAAAACCTCTGTTATGAATGTTTGTAAAACCACAGCTTCTCTTTATGTAACCGTAAACAACAACAAAAAAACTCTATTCAGTTGATAAATCAAAATGAAACCGAAATTTTCATACAACAGTGGCGCTTTTCTGTTTACATGTGTTTTTTTATATTTTACGGAAGAAAAAAAAAATAATGGAAAACTGTTTATAGCCAGCCCATCTTCTCTTTTTGCTATAAGTATTTTCCACTTCATTTCAATGGCCCACAAGGGCAAACGATAAATTTCACACATTCGCACTTTGTTTGTATACATACGTACGTACATACATATTTACATATTTGAAATAATTAGGGTCATTTGAGTGACATTTTTGAAGTTCATTACAAATTTATAAGTTTAGCTACATTTAGCAGGATTTTGATGGATAAAGGTCAAGGAATTAATGTCTTAATAATGTCTTTTTGTTGTTAATATTTAAAAAGTTTCTAACTTTTTTATTTTTTGCCTAAGTTTAATAAGATTCAAAAAGCAAAATATCAAATTACTTCTGTTTAGTTTTAGTTCAATTTACATTTAGTACCTAATTACATATTTATAATCAAAATTGTTAGTTTCATGTCATACGAGTACCTATACAATTGTGTGCTGCTGGCCCTTGCCTGACAAGCTATTAAACAATTTTATTAAAATTTATATGTATGTTTAATATTATAAAGTAGTGTTGTGTGTACTCTCCACACCATACACTAAGCTAAACAAACTATAACTTATGAGGGGCAAATATATGGCTGCAAAAAAAAAAAAAAAAATCCCCTAGAGTGAATGAAGAAATAAAAATATTATTTTCTAATTGCAATAAACATGTTCCAAACATCAAAACAAAAAAGTTTGTGGTATATATTTTTTTCACTTTAGAAGTTATACATTTTAATATTTTTACGAGGGCAGTGCTGAAAGTCTTTGAAGAAGAGTTTTTATCAATATAATTAATTTACAAAATTTTTTATTACGAATTACTATGTTCACACGGCACATTCGTAATATGAATTCTGTATACTTAAAGTTGTTTATGTAAAAAAAAAAACTTTTTAGTAAAGAAAACTTTCTTTAACATAATTTTGCAAGTTCAAACTTTCAGTAAGAAATAGATAAAAAAAAGTTTCTAAACTTTTCTATTTCATAACTATTCTGAAGGAACTTTTCAATATTGAAATGTTTGTATAAGAAGCTTTTCAATATTATATGTTTTTTTATAAGAAACTTTTTAATATTAAATGTTTTCTATAAAAAGCTTTGTAATATTAATCGTATTATATAAGAAGCTTTTTAATAATTAACGTTTTTTTGTAAGATTTTAAATGTTTAAATTGTAGAGAACTTTTCAATTTTAAAAGTTTTCTCTAAGAAACTTTAAAATATTGAAAGTTTTATATAACAAGCTTTTCAATATTAAAAGTTTTTTATAAGGAAACTTTAATTATGGAAAGTTTTCTATAAGAAACCTTTTCAATATTAAAAGATTTCTAAAATAATCTTTATAAAGTTGAAAGTTTTATATATAAAAGTTTCACTTTCTTTTCAATTAGAAAAGTTTGCTGTAAGAAATTTTTCCATAGGAAAGAAGCTTTTCAATATTATTATTTCATAATATATCAATTTCAAAAGTTTTTTGTGTGAAAAGTTTTCTCAAAGAACTATTCAATATTGAAAGCTTTCTATAAGAAGCTTTTTAATATTAAAAGTTTTTTATGAGGAACTTTTTTATTTAAAGTTTTTTTTATAAAACTTATCAATGTTAAAAGTTTTCTTAAATAAGCTTTTCGAAGTTAAGTTTTATATATAAAACTATTCTCTATAGAAAATTTTCTTCAAAAAAACTGTAAAAAACTTTTCAATTCGAAAATTCGCTGTAAAAAACTTTTCAATATTGAACGTTTTCTATAAGAAGCTTTTCAATATTAAAAGTTTTTTTTATAATATCAATATTAAATGTTTTCTTTAAGAAACTTTTGCAATATTAAAAATTTTCTAAAAAAAAGCTTTTCAAAGTTAAAAGTTTTATATATAAATTTTTTTTGCAAAAAAAAAAAAACTTTCAAAAGTTTTCTCAAAGAACTGTTCAATATTGAAAGCTTTCTATAAGAAGATTTTTAATATTAAAAGTTTTTTATAAGGAACTTTTTTATTTAAAGTTTTTTTCTTTGAGAAACTTTTTCAATATTAAAAGTTTTCTAAAATAAGCTTTTCAAAGTTAAAAGTTTTATATATAAAACTCTGTAGAAAATTTTCTTCAAAAAAACTGTAAGGAACTTTTCAATTCGAAAAGTTCGCTGTAAAAAATGTTACTGTAGGAAAAAAGCTCTTTGATATTCCTATTTCATAATATATTGACAGTGTTATATAAGTTTTTAAATGTTATTGATATTGAATATAATATTAAATTTTTTTAATAACGAACTTTAAATATTTAAAGCTTTTTAAAAGTTTTCTTTAAAAAACTTTTTAATATTAAAAGTTTTCTAAAATAAGTTTTTCAACGTTTAAATTTTTATATATAAAACTTTTTATTATATTCCTATTTCATAATATATTAACAGTTTTCTATAAGCTTTTAAATGTTCAAAGCTTTTTTTTTTAACTTTTCAATATTTAATATTTCCATAAAAAACTTTAGGCAACTTTTAAATTTCAAAAGTTTACTCTAAGAAACTTTTTAATATAGAAAGTTTTCTATAAGAAGCTTTTCAATATTCAAAGTTTTTTTATAAAAAACTTTTAATATTGAAAATTTTCTATAAAACTTATCAAGTTTTCTAGAGGAAACTTTTCAATATTCAAAGTTTTTTTATAAAGAACTTTTAATATTAAAAGTTTCTCTGTAAAAGCTTTTCTTTAGAAAAGAACCTTTTCACTATTCAAAGTTCTTTTTAATATTTAAAGTTTTCTATAAGAAAACGTTACATTAATGAAAGTTTTATGTAGGAAACTTCTCAGTTTCAAAAGTTTTCTGTTAAAAATGTTTCAATATTCAAAGTTTTCTTTAAGAAACTTTTACATTAAATCACTTTTTCTTATTTTATGAGGATCGTCCCCCATATAAAGCCGCTTTGAGAAAATCGTTTTTCATCAATAAATTGCTTAAAATTTACATATTAATTGAATGTTGGGTTTGCGAGATTCGAATACTTGTTGTTTTAAAAATAGCTTTAGAATTCACTTTTGCAAAATGCAAATTCTCTACACACAAGTTCTTTTTTTTTAATATGAATGAATTTAAAAAATGTTCACAATTAAAATTAATTGTTTCACAAAATTCATTTATAAGTCCTTTTAAAAACGGAAATACCACTTGTCGTTGATGAATAAGCAAAATGTCAAAGTACTTAATCATGCCACAAACCAAGTGAAATGTAAATTTGCAATAACTTTTGCTGCCACCCTCGCATTAAACATTACATAGTAATTTAATGTAAACATACTCGCCGCACATGTACATTTGTGTGTTTATAAACAAAACACTTTTGTTACTAATTAGTTGTACTCAACTGTTTTGTATTCACAATAAAATAACATTTAAACAGAATGTTAGTGGCTGATTATTCCAATGAATTGCGGTAAAATCTATTTTCTAAATATTTAATTACTCTAACAATACCAAAAAAAAAAACGCGAAAAAACGAAACAACAAATAGAAACATGACAACAGAGAGATGTTAATTTTTTTTATACAAATATTTTTTGTTATAATACACCTGCTGCTGGTTTTGATGATGATTTTGTATAAAAATGACGAGAATAAACGAACGATACGCTGCGATGACGATTAAATCGTAGTATGTACGTACGTATGTACTACATATTACGAAGACTTAGATATACAAAAGATTCAAGTGTGAAACCACTTTGGAAAATATGTGAAAATGCAATAAATAAATTAATCATTGGATTTTGTGGGAAATACTTATTAGTTCGTTGTTTCCTTTGGTAAACATATGCATGTTTATAACAAAATAACAAATGTATATTGTTTATGTGTGTGTATGTATGTATATCATTCGAATGTCTTCTTTTAAATGTAATAAATTTTATATTTATTTTACTCTAATGTAGTATCGACTACATTATTTAGAATCCCTTAGAGAACGCACAACAACAACAAAAAACTTTAGACAACTTTAAAAATGACAAAATAAATAAATAACATCTATACAATTTGAATAATTAAAACGTTTTTAAAAACACTCCAAGTAAACACAAACACACATAAAAAAGTGCTATAAGAAAACAAAAAAAGAAGGACCCATAATCATGATGCCAAATCCCAATTTACTTTATTTTACATTCAAATGTTTACGACTGAGCTTTATAACAAGTCATAGTATAGCCTTAAGATAGAGTGATTGTGTCTGTGATTTATATTAGTGATAAGGAAATATAACCAAAAATAAAGAAAACAAACAAAAACACCAAATTTATGCCAATTGTGCTACAAAAAAAAAAAAAAAAAACAAATTTACTTGCCGTCCTAATACAACGGAGCATATAATGCTTTAAAAGGATATCTCATCATGAAGAGTGTTAAGAATTTCTTTATTGAACGTTTACATAGCGTAGACAATTCGGAGCAGACAAATTCGGGTAGCTGTAAAACCAAAGAGAAGACAACTACATCAAGTAAAAGCACTGATGGTAATTCAACACCATCGGCTAATTCTGTTTCGGGCGAAGAGTCACCCTCCAACCCCTCGTTATCGGCTCAAACTCCTTCGCATGAGGGTGTTAATTCAAATGTAACTTCACCCACCACTGATTTATCAGCTGACAAAACCATATCATGTCCTTTCGACTTCTCACCAACAGCAACAACAGCAGCTGTAGCATTAGCAACAAATCAAAAACAAAAAAATCGCCGAAAGATTTCTTTACCCTGGGGTCGTCAAAGTAGTATTGCCAAAAATTTGGGCTTAGCGCGTCAACATACCATCGATACGCCCAGTTCTTTTCGTATCTTTCGTCAGTCGAGTAGTAAATTAAAGGTTTGTTTGTTGCATTATTGTTTCTGACTTTAATCTTTAAATAAGATCTAAATGAATACTTGCTTACCTTTGTCCGTTAATCATGATCTTAGAACTATAATTATAATACTCGACCCGGTCTAGTCTATAGTCTAGTATATTGTATAGTCTATAGTCTAATACATTGTATAGTCTAGTCTATAGTTAGTCTATAGTCTAGTCTATAGTCTACCCGACCCGGTTTAGTCTATAGTCTAGTATATAGTCTAGTCTATAGTAGTCTAGTCTATAGTCTAGTCTATAGTCTAGTCTATAGTCTAGTCTATAGTCTAGTCTATAGTCTAGTCTATAGTCTAGTCTATAGTCTAGTCTATAGTCTAGTCTATAGTCTAGTCTATAGTCTAGTCTATAGTCTAGTCTATAGTCTAGTCTATAGTCTATAGTCTAGTCTATAGTCTAGTCTATAGTCTAGTCTATAGTCTAGTCTATAGTCTAGTCTATAGTCTAGTCTATAGTCTAGTCTATAGTCTAGTCTATAGTCTAGTCTATAGTCTAGTCTATAGTCTAGTCTATAGTCTAGTCTATAGTCTAGTCTATAGTCTAGTCTATAGTCTAGTCTATAGTCTAGTCTATAGTGTAGTCTAGTCTAGTGGTCGTGTCACTGTCCCACACAAAGTAATTATTTTACTCACTGCTTAAAAGTTGTTATTTATACCTTTAAAAATTAAAAAGCAAATTAAATAACGTTATTAGCTGATAGACCATACCATATCATGTCCTTTCGACTTCTCACCAACAGCAACAACAGCAGCTGTAGCATTAGCAACAAATCAAAAACAAAAAAATCGCCGAAAGATTTCTTTACCCTGGGGTCGTCAAAGTAGTATTGCCAAAAATTTAGGCTTAGCGCGTCAACATACCATCGATACACCCAGTTCTTTTCGTATCTTTCGTCAGTCGAGTAGTAAATTAAAGGTTTGTTTGTTGCATTATTGTTTCTGACTTTAATCTTTAAATAAGATCTAAATGAATACTTGCTTACCTTTGTCCGTTAATCATGATCTTAGAACTATAATTATAATACTCGACCCGGTCTAGTCTATAGTCTAGTATATTGTATAGTCTATAGTCTAATACATTGTATAGTCTAGTCTATAGTTAGTCTATAGTCTAGTCTATAGTCTACCCGACCCGGTTTAGTCTATAGTCTAGTATATAGTCTAGTCTATAGTCTAGTCTATAGTCTAGTCTATAGTCTAGTCTATAGTCTAGTCTATAGTCTAGTCTATAGTCTAGTCTATAGTCTAGTCTATAGTCTAGTCTATAGTCTAGTCTATAGTCTAGTCTATAGTCTAGTCTATAGTCTAGTCTAGTCTATAGTCTAGTCTATAGTCTAGTCTATAGTCTAGTCTATACTCTAGTCTATAGTCTAGTCTATAGTCTAGTCTATGATGATTTTGTATAAAAATGACGAGAATAAACGAACGATACGCTGCGATGACGATTAAATCGTAGTATGTACGTACGTATGTACTACATATTACGAAGACTTAGATATACAAAAGATTCAAGTGTGAAACCACTTTGGAAAATATGTGAAAATGCAATAAATAAATTAATCATTGGATTTTGTGGGAAATACTTATTAGTTCGTTGTTTCCTTTGGTAAACATATGCATGTTTATAACAAAATAACAAATGTATATTGTTTATGTGTGTGTATGTATGTATATCATTCGAATGTCTTCTTTTAAATGTAATAAATTTTATATTTATTTTACTCTAATGTAGTATCGACTACATTATTTAGAATCCCTTAGAGAACGCACAACAACAACAAAAAACTTTAGACAACTTTAAAAATGACAAAATAAATAAATAACATCTATACAATTTGAATAATTAAAACGTTTTTAAAAACACTCCAAGTAAACACAAACACACATAAAAAAGTGCTATAAGAAAACAAAAAAAGAAGGACCCATAATCATGATGCCAAATCCCAATTTACTTTATTTTACATTCAAATGTTTACGACTGAGCTTTATAACAAGTCATAGTATAGCCTTAAGATAGAGTGATTGTGTCTGTGATTTATATTAGTGATAAGGAAATATAACCAAAAATAAAGAAAACAAACAAAAACACCAAATTTATGCCAATTGTGCTACAAAAAAAAAAAAAAAAAACAAATTTACTTGCCGTCCTAATACAACGGAGCATATAATGCTTTAAAAGGATATCTCATCATGAAGAGTGTTAAGAATTTCTTTATTGAACGTTTACATAGCGTAGACAATTCGGAGCAGACAAATTCGGGTAGCTGTAAAACCAAAGAGAAGACAACTACATCAAGTAAAAGCACTGATGGTAATTCAACACCATCGGCTAATTCTGTTTCGGGCGAAGAGTCACCCTCCAACCCCTCGTTATCGGCTCAAACTCCTTCGCATGAGGGTGTTAATTCAAATGTAACTTCACCCACCACTGATTTATCAGCTGACAAAACCATATCATGTCCTTTCGACTTCTCACCAACAGCAACAACAGCAGCTGTAGCATTAGCAACAAATCAAAAACAAAAAAATCGCCGAAAGATTTCTTTACCCTGGGGTCGTCAAAGTAGTATTGCCAAAAATTTGGGCTTAGCGCGTCAACATACCATCGATACGCCCAGTTCTTTTCGTATCTTTCGTCAGTCGAGTAGTAAATTAAAGGTTTGTTTGTTGCATTATTGTTTCTGACTTTAATCTTTAAATAAGATCTAAATGAATACTTGCTTACCTTTGTCCGTTAATCATGATCTTAGAACTATAATTATAATACTCGACCCGGTCTAGTCTATAGTCTAGTATATTGTATAGTCTATAGTCTAATACATTGTATAGTCTAGTCTATAGTTAGTCTATAGTCTAGTCTATAGTCTACCCGACCCGGTTTAGTCTATAGTCTAGTATATAGTCTAGTCTATAGTCTAGTCTATAGTCTAGTCTATAGTCTAGTCTATAGTCTAGTCTATAGTCTAGTCTATAGTCTAGTCTATAGTCTAGTCTATAGTCTAGTCTATAGTCTAGTCTATAGTCTAGTCTATAGTCTAGTCTATAGTCTAGTCTATAGTCTAGTCTATAGTCTAGTCTATAGTCTAGTCTATAGTCTAGTCTATAGTCTAGTCTATAGTCTAGTCTATAGTCTAGTCTATAGTCTAGTCTATAGTCTAGTCTATAGTCTAGTCTATAGTCTAGTCTATAGTCTAGTCTATAGTCTAGTCTATAGTCTAGTCTATAGTCTAGTCTATAGTCTAGTCTATAGTCTAGTCTATAGTCTAGTCTATAGTCTAGTCTAAGTCTAGTCTATAGTCTAGTCTATAGTCTAGTCTATAGTCTAGTCTAGTCTAGTCTATAGTCTAGTCTATAGTGTAGTCTAGTCTAGTGGTCGTGTCACTGTCCCACACAAAGTAATTATTTTACTCACTGCTTAAAAGTTGTTATTTATACCTTTAAAAATTAAAAAGCAAATTAAATAACGTTATTAGCTGATAGACCATACCATATCATGTCCTTTCGACTTCTCACCAACAGCAACAACAGCAGCTGTAGCATTAGCAACAAATCAAAAACAAAAAAATCGCCGAAAGATTTCTTTACCCTGGGGTCGTCAAAGTAGTATTGCCAAAAATTTAGGCTTAGCGCGTCAACATACCATCGATACACCCAGTTCTTTTCGTATCTTTCGTCAGTCGAGTAGTAAATTAAAGGTTTGTTTGTTGCATTATTGTTTCTGACTTTAATCTTTAAATAAGATCTAAATGAATACTTGCTTACCTTTGTCCGTTAATCATGATCTTAGAACTATAATTATAATACTCGACCCGGTCTAGTCTATAGTCTAGTATATTGTATAGTCTATAGTCTAATACATTGTATAGTCTAGTCTATAGTTAGTCTATAGTCTAGTCTATAGTCTACCCGACCCGGTTTAGTCTATAGTCTAGTATATAGTCTAGTCTATAGTCTAGTCTATAGTCTAGTCTATAGTCTAGTCTATAGTCTAGTCTATAGTCTAGTCTATAGTCTAGTCTATAGTCTAGTCTATAGTCTAGTCTATAGTCTAGTCTATAGTCTAGTCTATAGTCTAGTCTATAGTCTAGTCTATAGTCTAGTCTATAGTCTAGTCTATAGTCTAGTCTATACTCTAGTCTATAGTCTAGTCTATAGTCTAGTCTATAGTCTAGTCTATAGTCTAGTCTATAGTCTAGTCTATAGTCTAGTCTATAGTCTAGTCTATAGTCTAGTCTATAGTCTAGTCTATAGTCTAGTCTATAGTCTAGTCTATAGTGTAGTCTAGTCTAGTGGTCGTGTCACTGTCCCACACAAAGTAATTATTTTACTCACTGCTTAAAAGTTGTTATTTATACCTTTAAAAATTAAAAAGCAAATTAAATAACGTTATTAGCTGATAGACCATACCATATCATGTCCTTTCGACTTCTCACCAACAGCAACAACAGCAGCTGTAGCATTAGCAACAAATCAAAAACAAAAAAATCGCCGAAAGATTTCTTTACCCTGGGGTCGTCAAAGTAGTATTGCCAAAAATTTGGGCTTAGCGCGTCAACATACCATCGATACGCCCAGTTCTTTTCGTATCTTTCGTCAGTCGAGTAGTAAATTAAAGGTTTGTTTGTTGCATTATTGTTTCTGACTTTAATCTTTAAATAAGATCTAAATGAATACTTGCTTACCTTTGTCCGTTAATCATGATCTTAGAACTATAATTATAATACTCGACCCGGTCTAGTCTATAGTCTAGTATATTGTATAGTCTATAGTCTAATACATTGTATAGTCTAGTCTATAGTTAGTCTATAGTCTAGTCTATAGTCTACCCGACCCGGTTTAGTCTATAGTCTAGTCTATAGTCTAGTCTATAGTCTAGTCTATAGTCTAGTCTATAGTCTAGTCTATAGTCTAGTCTATAGTCTAGTCTATAGTCTAGTCTATAGTCTAGTCTATAGTCTAGTCTATAGTCTAGTCTATACTCTAGTCTATAGTCTAGTCTATAGTCTAGTCTATAGTCTAGTCTATACTCTAGTCTATAGTCTAGTCTATAGTCTAGTCTATAGTCTAGTCTATAGTCTAGTCTATAGTCTAGTCTATAGTCTAGTCTATAGTCTAGTCTATAGTCTAGTCTATAGTCTAGTCTATAGTCTAGTCTATAGTCTAGTCTATAGTCTAGTCTATAGTGTAGTCTAGTCTAGTGGTCGTGTCACTGTCCCACACAAAGTAATTATTTTACTCACTGCTTAAAAGTTGTTATTTATACCTTTAAAAATTAAAAAGCAAATTAAATAACGTTATTAGCTGATAGAGTTTTTCCAATAATATAAAGTATACTATAGGGGATTACCGATAAGATTTTAATACCTAGAGAAGGTACACGTTTAATTAGTGTTCCCGCTAAAAAACCAAATATGTAAAAATATTGCATTAATAACATAAACGATATCACTAATTAAACCCCTAATAACTCGTGTGACTTGTACGGAAACTCATTTTTGCAAATTGATATAAAAAATTAAAAAAAAAAAATACAAGTGAATTTAGTAATTAGTTAACATGATAATACATATTTTCCTATATTCTTCCTCATTCATTCATTCATTCACTCACTTACTTGCTTTCCTTTATTCATACATTCGTTCCACTTGAATGCACAAGCAATTAAGCATAATCGAATACCAAGTATAGATAAATTCCTTCATACATATTTACATACATATTCATTCATTCATGCTTTCCTTCCTTCCTTACTTTGGAACATGTAGGGAATACTAGACAACAACAGCAGTGGAACTTTTCTAATGGTAATTCAATGTTGGTGATTGTCTTAACGACCAGCCAACGTTATCGACGACACTGCACTAATATATTTAATATATCATACATTAGGGTTGTCCCGCCCAAAGTAGAAGTTATTGAAGCTGATGCTGTTGCTGTTGTAAATGAAACTTTAATTGATTCTAAGATATTGTTTCTCAAATTTTTTGTCTTGATGTCAATATTTAGTGAACTGGATCCAAGGACTAAAAGCTCTTTTTTAAGGTGTTTATAGGCGCCTCTAAAGCCTCTTTCACATGATATCAATCAAAATTTCATATCATTCCTTTGCGTAAAACATGAAAAAATATTGAACCCAGGAAAAAAATGTTGAGAAATTATATCTTAAAAGAAATCTTTTATTTTCGGTATTAACATCAGCACCCTATTTTTTACCATATAAACGGTGCCAACCCATTGTACATACATACTTATACTTATTAGAAATTTTTAGCTTAATTAAACTTAATGCAATAAATATACTTATACAGACTAATAGATGTATGAAGGATGAATACTGTGGATTGAAATACCAAATACAAGATATAGTTTTTGACTTTAAGAGAATATGCTGATCAAATGTCTTTGTCATAGCAAGCATTTAATTTTAATATTTAAACAGATTATTAAGATTTTTTTCCATATAAATGAAATTACATTTATTATTTAATGGGGCTATTTATTTTAATAGCCCCACTGTGCCATAACTTATAACTAAACAAACAACCAATAGAAAATCAATAAATAATATTCCTTAAAAATTCACTAAAATTTCTATGAAGGATGAACGAACGAACAGCAAACAGAGGACAAAATAAAAAACTGGAAAAAGCAAACATATTTACTCGTATTATATGCAAATATACACAAGTTTAATGGCTTGTGTTAAAAATATATACCAAATATTGTTGGTCTCCTATAAAAGGATTGTTGCCTCAAGTATATTCTATACACAAAATATAAAATAAAAAAAAATATGAAAAATTAACAAATAAATTCATTAGAGCGATAAATATATTAGATGAAATTATATTTATATAATTTATTGATTTCTTCACAATCTTCCCATCCCATTACAGATTGGCACACATGAAGCTACTTGGGTTATATCCGATTACATTGCTTCGCCTGGATCGAATGAACTTAGTGTTAGTAAAGGACAACAAGTGGAAATAGTTGAACCGCCTACAGCAAATGAACCAGATTTCTGTTTAGTACGTCTCAATCCACAGAGTGATGATGCGGCTGTACAGGAAGGTTTAGTGCCAGTGTCTATACTTAAACCACCACCTGGTTCTCAGAAGACAAGCTCAAATCGTAAAGATAAAGGTGATGTCATACAAGACCAAAGTGAGTATTTTTTTTGTTAATGTTGTTGTTATTGTTATTGTTTGTGTATTTTTATATTATGGAAAATATTCTGTACAAACAATGCATAAGCTTGAACGGACAAATAAATATGATTGATTTATGTGTCTTTCTTTCCCTTGTTTTATTTTCTTTTATAGCCAATAATCGTAGTAAACCAGATTCCCTTACATCGTCCACTAAAAGGAGAGGCCTTGGAGGGTAAGTTGTTTATTTTTTATTTTTTGTTATTTATTAATATGTATTTTGTTTAACATAGTTGTAGTCATGTATGAATAAAAATCATTAAAATATATATTTACACTGTAAGAAAAGTATAGGGATCATTTTAGAAAAATTAAGTTTTAAAGTTTACAATTCGAGCCTTTTTGCAAAAATCTTTTGAAGATTTATTTGAAAATTATCGACAAAACTTCTATATGAACAAATTTAAGGCATCTGTTTCTTAACTAGAGAGATTTTCTTGAATATTTCTCCTTATTTATCCTCTTTGTGCTGAAACCACTTTATGACCT